GGTATTGTATGTTAATGTATAACTGTTTTTGTATGTTTTGGATTCAGGTTGTTTTTTGGAGAAAAGCACGTTAGCTTTCCCCCTACAAAACAACTTATAAAGAGGGGAGGTGTTACATACAGCACTGATGTTACCTGTCTGTCATGGGTTTGGAGGGAAAGTTCCATCCTATGGGGAGTGGAAGGCGGGACATCAGGAGGAGGGGCTGTACTGTATATATATGTGGAGCCTGTGTGGAGAAGTCAGAAGCTGGAGAAGAGCTGAGAGAAGAAGCTTGAGTAGGAGTCTGTGTGTCAGACAGGGTACTACTGTGTGTCAGTCAGTACCAACCTGATAGGTTCAGGTGTCTGTAGGGTTAGCCAGAACTGATAGGTTCAGGGTCTGTGCTTTAGTTAAATGCGTTCTGTGTGAACCAAACTGGTGTATGTATGATTGAGACTAAGCCACGTTACTGTATCTTATTCACTTGATCATTTTATTTTCCCTGTGTGTTGGTTAAATAAACCTTATTCCTTTATTTGTTAAAAATCCATTCCTGGTCTGTGTGACTCCTTACAGGGAATGGTTGGTGGCAGCTTAGTGAAACTGTGGCATCCTCCAGTAGGTCTGGGTTTGTCACATTGTACATTGGTTTCCAAGTGAGTATGCCAACAGACATCCCATGATTACGCAATTTGCTGTGCACAGATATAGAGGAGGCTTGCATTTAAAAGTCACCACAATTACGGGCAACTCCAAGACCCATCTCTGCTAAATTCTTGAAGTGACTTTCCCACCAATTTTTTTAAGCACAAGCTTGGCTGCAATAGTAGGCTAAGAAGCAAACGGCACCTGGTACTCGAAGGAAGGTGTGAGTCTGTAGTTGAGCATTTCCTGGTGAAATACAGGGGTGATGCTTCCAGACATGGGTGGGACAATCCACACCCAGTCGGCAGGGCAACCTCCCCGGCAGCGGTACTCATTCTCCATATGTTTGATGAAAGACTCCGTGGCTGAGTGATGGTCCACAATGGTTACTTTGTCACTCTGGAGGGAGGAAGGAGGACCAAGTAAATAAATATATAGATAAATGTTTTTAAAAATATTAAAAAGATGATATAATAGCCTAAAGCCAGCTTGAGAGTCAAATGAGATAATATGTTCATTGCCTGCTTTTATCAGAGGTGTTCCCCTAAGTGGTAAAAAGTATTGGCTTGTCATAACATGCAGTTTTGCTCAGGTACATGTCTTGTATTTAGCATGCTTTGTTATATGACTGTTCACAAGAAGATAACCACCAGATCAGCTTGGAATTGTTATGTGCACTACCTGAGAAAATTCTATTATGGGAGGGCAAATGGTTAATATTAGGGAATAGACATTTTTCTTAGCATCTAGTTTGACCTTCAGCCAAACTCTCTTAGACTCACATGCTTTACCCTGCATCCTAGATAACTACATAAGTCAGGGGTTGGAAGGAACACTCAAGTCACATAGGTACATACCTATAAGTTACATGCTTTTTGGTAATGAGAATGGAATGATGATATGGAATATTTAGTTACTCTCTAGTTACTATTGAAGAGCATTTTGGAGTCACTTAGAAGGTTTTCAAGTTTTAAAACACTCTTGCCAATAATTCTAAGAGGTTTTTTTTACAGCAGTGGTTCTTAACCTTGGGTTAGTCAGGTGTTTTTGAACTGCAACTCCCAGAAACCCCAGCCAGCAGAGCTGGTGGTGAAGGCTTCTGGGAGTTGCAGTCCAAAAACACCTGAGCAACCCAAGGTTAAGAACCACTGTTTTACAGGAATACAAAGAGTAATGTGACAGGCAACTTTGAAAAATGCTGTAATGAGTAACACCATTTAATTGGCTTTTAAAACACAGCAACAAGTAATAGGAACCACTTACTTTTTAGAAGTAACCGTTCAAATTTTGTGAGAAGCTGAATGTCTTCTCCAGCAGCAAACAAGAAAGGTTTGTGCTGCACCTCCTCAATGAAGAGCTAATTTGGCTAATGGCAGTGTGAACGGAAAAAGAAAAGTCTGCTTCCTGATTTCAAGGGTTCTTTTGTACCTGAACACAGAACGTTATACCAGAAAATGCACAGGAGTGCCCCTTAAAGTACAGCAGGGCTGGCTTGCCACATGTGGAAGCAAATGCAACGATACAGTTACCATCTAAACAGCAACTCAGGAGTTCAAAATTATTTAATGGCAGTCCTACCAATACTTGCATTTCAAATGTTACCAAGGGGCCAAAAATGTTAAGGGAACAATTTCACGGTACCTGGAAACTGTAAAGAACAGCAATGTTTATCTCCACCAATGCCTGGTCCTTCCAGAGTGAGGAAGTCTTCCTCATATCCAGCTTCATATTTTTGGCAACCTCCTGTAGTGCAAAAACAGCGACCATTTATAATAACCAGGCAATGAATGAAGGCAAGACTGGGTGAATGTCCCGATTTGAAGACAACACATTTGTGTCTCATAAAAGACAGGTTACTTACTTGTAATTTTAGTACTTTGAGTGGTCACCTGTGAAGTTATATATTGGGTTCTCTTTGAGCTTCTCCAATAATCCTTGGAAATATCTAGAGTTTAGAAACACCAAAACCTCCACCCACACTCCCCAGTAGGCATTGCTCCCTCTCAGCAATTCTCCTTCAGTCCTGCACCATCTGCCACAGATACTAAGAGAGTGTGTGATGGATAGTGTGGATGGAGGAGGGAATGTGTAAACTTATCAGTTCAACACAGTACTGTTTAGTTTGACCACCAGCAGCTCCTAGAGTCTCTCAGAGTCTCAGACAGAAAAAGGTCATTCTCTATCAAATGCTACTTGGTCCTTTAATTTATTTATTTATTTATTTATTTATTTATTTATTTATTTAACTTATATGCCGCCCACACTACCCAAAGGTCTCTGGGCGGCTCATTGATCTTAATGAGAAGGCAGGGACTGAAACTGGGATTTTCTACTACTGAGTTTCTGGTCCCACAACAAAATATCTTCAATATGGGCAAAATCTAATTACACACGGCTACTACAGTACCTCCTCTAAGATAATGGCACTTACATGAGTATTGACTTAACAAGTGCTTTTCATCCAGTGATTTTAACTCAGTTCAAACTAGAAATGGAAAGACGCTTGTAAGATTCCTTGTTTTTGTTGACTAAAGATGTATCGACACAACGAGATGTGTAGAAAAGGATTTTTTTTCCCCTATTGGAACATTTGTAATTTATGCAAAGTGTCCCTCTTATACAAAACTACCTTCTTTTCCCTTTAAGAAGCAAAGTGCACCTGTAGACAGAAACACAGAGCAAGCACAGGAAGTCTAGCTGATTGTTTAAAAAGGTACAAATAATTGACCATATGGTTGGGCTTTTAAATGTCCAAGATCAAAATACTGTTGCGTAGTTCCACTGATGCAATAGAAGTGATATCATTGATAACTGCAGATTGCCACTAATTAAAGAGTTCCTGTTTTGATTTCAGATTGCACATGACTATGTTTCGTTGTATGGAAGTCATACACAACCTGAAATGAAAACAGGAACTCTTTAATTAGTAGCAATCTGCCATTACTGGTGATGCTACTCCCATTGTACTAACAGAGGAACACAAAAGGATAGTGGCCTGGATGGAAAGCAGCAGCTCTTGCAATTTTGTGCAAGTTCCATAATTCACATAAATAAGTCAAGAGAATTAGAAATAGCATTATTTTGCCCTCTTACAGATCAAACAGAAAAGTTAGAAATGTGTCGTTCTTTCTTGTAAGAATGAGATAAACTAAGGTCTATGTGAGCTCATTGGAGTAGACTAGATCAGGCTACGTAGGGTCACTAAAGGTTGCAGAGAGGTCTGGTATGCCATTTGGTGCAATCCATGAATCCAAACTGCATATGACCCCCAAGTGACCCTATTTGCTCTGGCTCCTTCCACTGTCAATTTCCCATGTTGTGAAGTGGCTTAGGAAGGCGGCCACTTCGGGTTATAGGCAAATTAAACACTTTAGACCAGGCTTGTCCAACCTGCGGCCCGAGGGCCACATGCGGCCCAGTGCAATTTTTTATTTTTAAAGAAATTCCAAAGTTTCAAGTTACACTGCCGGCGCTTGCGCCCAAAATGTGGCCGGAGCATGTCACAACAGTAGAGGGGGAGAGAGGGAAGGAAGGAAGGAGGGGGAGGGGAGGGGAGGGGACAGGGGGGCTGCGTGACTGCATTGCACCCTCCCCGTCAATAGGCAGACCCCCTCCCAGCCCCATAAAGCCGCCGGAGTCGAAGCGGGCAGCCTCTGCTGTCTAAGATCGCAGCTGCCGGTAAGCGCCCTTGGAGCGGGGCTGCAGAGGAAGGCTAGGGCTGCCCCCCCCATGTGGCCCAAACCGAATGTATGTGCGGCCCAAACCAAATTTTCATCTTCTAATGTGGCCCAGGGAAGGTGAAAGTTTGGACACCCCTGCTTTAGACTATATGAAGGCAGTGCAGATGCACTGCATCACTTATTTAAAAATTAATGATTCAGCTGTGGGCAGGTTCTTGACCTGACCTTTAAGAAAAAACACAAAAAAACTCCCTCATTGCTCTCTATTATGTCCTCTTGCTTCAAGAAGTTATCAATTTTTTAAAAAAATATAGGGGAGGCAGTACCTTAATTCAGTCTAAAAAATAAGTTCCTCTGCCCTTCCATGAAGCAGAGGAAACGTTTAATTTACCAATATTCAGAAGTTGCTGTCTTTATAAACCATTTCAAGACATGAGAAATTCAAAGAGGAAGGCTCAAGTTGGTTGATTTAAAAAGCAGAAGTCCCTGACAGGGACCTAGAAAGGTGTGAGTAGGAATGCTTTGGGCATGGGCTGGTTTGCTCCAGCAATTATGTCCTGTGATTTGCTGGAAAAAGGAGCAAATCACCTCATCTCCATAGCAGACCAAACAGTGGGACAAATGTCCATCTCATCACACCTTAAGGTTTGCATCCCTAGTTAGGACTAACAATCAGATTTTCCCTATATGTTGAGAAGGTCATCAACAGAGGAATCAGCTACCAGGAAGTCTGGTTGGAATTTCATTTTGATGATGAAGTCACCAAGTGCTCCTGCGTAGATTGTTCTTGTGTATCCTTTTCTTCCCTTCTTCAATTTAGGGATAGTATAGAAGGATGGAAAATAAATTCACATTTACTGAAGTCTGTATTTCACTTGATATGTCTGAAGAAGGGGACCTGTCCATGAAATCTCTCATTAAAATACAACAGTTAGTCTTTAAGGTTCTTCAAGGTTTTTGTCTCTTTTTTATTCTTTATTTTTAGATTTTTCATATATTATTTATATTACCATTACTTTCCTTTGGGTTTTGCCTACTATGCTTGCACAGACTAACATGGCTACCTCTTCTAAACTCATATTTACTGCATCTCTTTAACAAATGTGTCCAATCCATGATTTATGACACTACTAACACAAGTGAATGTGTCTGTTTCAGTTTGGAAGAAACAAGGCAGAAGAGCAAATGGTTATGCCCTCCCCTTCCACTTTTCTCTTTGCTAACATGCACGACTTCAAAATATGTATATTTAACTATGCTTCAGTTAATGTGGAAATTCTGAGAAAAACATACATTAATGTAAAAGCATTTAAAATCTTTAGGAGAAATGTGTACCAAAATGTACACAGATTTTGAGTGACAAGGGAGGAAAAAAAATCTTGAAGCTAATATGGAACTTGGAAAGAATGAGAATGTTGGAGAGATTCTGAGAAGTACAATGAAAACAAAATAGACATTTTCACATCACTAATAATAAGCGTTGGCTGGAAAGATTACAACAATGTACTGCGTGTAAAGTGTGTTAAACACAGAAATGCACCACACAAAGGCTAATTCTTACCTCCAGGATGTTGTAGCGAGAATTGTCACAGTAATCCCGGACGCCAATCTCGGTTCCCATGTACCAGCCACTGAAGGGACAAGCGGAGAACTCCAAGCCTCCAATCTCTAGCAGCATGTTGGAAACTGCTGGCAAGCCATACCACTGGAGACCCAGGTCCCTGAACCAGGCAAACCTGCAAACAGAGCACCAAACAAAACACAATTTGAACTTCGGGAGTGGGATCCCTTCTTCCTCAGAACTACCTAAAGGCTTCTAGGAAAGATCTATAAGGTCCTGCCTGCCATTCTGAATCTACTGGCACAGTTCAACTAAAACAGAAGAGAACCTACTTCCCTCATGCTTCTTATTATTACCAGATGCAGACAGCACCAAAGGAGTCTAGGCAAGAGTTGTGGGAGAAATTTGTCGCAGAGGCGGATAAGAAAGGACTGAGGAGAGCGTAGTAGAGGCAAAGGGACTTTCATTTTTGGAGGCTCTGGAATTTTCTGAAATGGTGTTGACACAGGTGCACAACCCATTTGTGTGCGTACATGGACACCACAACAGAGAGACTTACTTTTTCCACTTATCCAAATTTAGTCTCCAACTCAGCTGATGTTATGTGTCTCTGAGCTTTGAAAAAGGTGGGATAGTTGCCTGAGTCTCATCTAGATCTCTGGAAAGAAAACCCCGACTACATCCCAGCCAGCTGCAAACTGAGACGAATACCTAGCCCTTAGCCTGCTTTCTACATCTTGCTACAACAGAGGGGCAGACAATGGCCAACACACCAAGCCACATTTTTGAATCTGCTGTGTCTTCCTCTTCCTTTGAATGTTTTACTGTCTTGCCCAATGAAGAATTCTGAATAAGTTGATAGCCGGTTGCCAGTTTTGTGCTAATTCTGAAACCATTTTGTGGTCGTACATTTTGTTTGTTTTTAAGCTACAACTCTCAAAACTCCCCAAGTGGCACTGAGGATTCTGGGAACTGTGGTCCAAAGAAGAAATCTTTCCAAGCTCAGGGTTACAGAGTATATGGGCAAAGCTTTTTAAATCCAGAAGACCACCAGAATGTTAATTTGGACTTCAGGGATGCCATGTGTGCATGTGTACAAGTGAATATGCACACATCCTAGCACGCCTCTTTCCTTACCAAGAGGAAGTGGAAACTCTATTCTCCAAACAGAAACTGCATCTTTTTCCCCAGTCACGAAAGAGCAATCTGTATGATGAATAGAGAGTTTTCTTTCTATACTTTCCCTTCTGGATACAAATAACTACAGTGGTGCCTCACATAGTGATCGCTCCGTATAGCGATGAAATCGCTTTGCGATGGACTTCTTGCCATCACAAAAGCGATCACTTTGCGATGGTCCCTATGGGAAATTTCACTTTGCGATGATCGCAGGGAAGCGATCATCGCAAAGCCCCCATTTTCGCACAACTGATCGGTGGTTTCAAAATGGCCACCGGGTAAACAAAATGGCCACCTGCTGTGTTTCCTCACTTAAGAGGCACCAAAAATGGCCGCCCCTATGGAGGATCTTTGCTTAAAGGTGAGTTTTTAGCCCATAGAAACGCATTAATCGCGTTTTAATGCGTTTCTATGGGCTTTTTATTTTCGCTTAGCGATGCTATCGCTTAGCAGTGATTTTTTCTGCACTGATTAACATAGCTAAGTGAGCCACCACTGTATTTCCTTGCTGCTAGCAGCAGTATTATCAGAACCCTGGAATCTAGACGTATCATGGACAAAGACCGAGGAACCTATAATTGCAACAGAGAACACACCACCCTAGGCTCTACTGAAGGATCAGAGATCTCCCAAGCAGTCCTTGAACCTGATATCCCCGAGTCCAGACAAAAGGCAGTGATTGCTAAGGCTAGATACAGGACTGGGAGAGGACACCCTCTTTCAAGGTGCACTAGTGCCACATATGCCCAGCTCATGGGAAGATTTGTCTCCTTAAGGCTTGTACTTTCGCCCAGCTCATGGGAAGGTAGAAGATTTGTCTCCTTAAGGCTTGTACTTTTTTGAAAGAGGTGTAGTATGAGTGGGGTAGACTAGAATTGATAAAGCAGTAGAAAAGGTCTCAGTTGAGCTTCATGCTTTGTTGGGACATGAAGTTCTTCAAAATCCTGCACCAGCTTGCTTCCCTGCCAGTTTGCCTCCTCCTACCATGTGACTTTCAGAACATGACAAAGCAGAGAAAAAGCCATCTGTATGAAATAAACGCACCTTATCCATCTTGGCTTTTAGTCACAGATGATACTGGAAAAGACAAGACCTCCTTAGTGGGCCAAGAGGAAGCATTTTAACTTACTTGGGGTGCCGAATTGGTACTTCCAGCACTAGTTCAGGTGGGATTTCAAAAAGCTCAGGGTCATTGCCGTTGGCTTGGAGAAGCAGTGGTAGGACATCAAATCGGCCCCTGGGAGCTTTCCAACCTTGCTGTATGCAGATCTACATCCAAGGAAGAGTAGAGGTTGGTGACCATCCATGCAGGAGAAGAAAATGCACAGCAGTCAGGCAGACGGTTACTTGCATGGCTGGCTGAAATCAAACACCTAGCAGATAGCTAACCATGCCAAAAATGTTTATATTCTATACTAGAATACAAACAATTTTGTATTCTATACTAGAATACAACATTAGAACTTTCATTTGAAGTAGTAGATTTGATTATTCTAAGACAGATGAAGGACTCATAAAACATGTGGGCCACCCCATGCCCAAGGGCGTTTTTTTATTCCAGTCCTGGAGTGCCTATCTTATCTTATTTCTACTAATATGCTTGGCTATAGGATAAAAATTACAGTGTAGTTTTGCAGCAATGGGTGGGGGTACAGTTGGCTTTCTGGATACTGGCAGATTTCTGTGCTCATTATGCTTCAACTTTGGTCAGACTGACTAAGGCTCCTGGGGATTGAAATCTGACAACATCTGGAGCAGGGTGGCCAAAGTACAGCCTGCCAGACTTCAATTCTGGTCAGCCCTAGTCAGTGTAGCCAAGGATGAAGAATGCTGGGAGCTGCAATCCAAAGAGATTTGGAGCACCAGTTTGCCCATTCTTGATCTTGGTCTAGCCTTGACGCATTGCTTAGATGTAGGAAAATTTGAATTCAGCAGGTGGAAAAACTTTTCTGTATGTGTGAATAAGACCCAAGTTAACAAATCTCAACAAAAAGCTTCAAAAGGAGAGAGGTCTCCCTGACTAACAAGGAAGTTATTCTACAATGTCCAAAAAAGGACGCGTGTATGTCATGGGTTCCGAAACGACAGCCCGTGGGGCACATCTGGCCCGCCTTGCCTTTCTATCCGGCTCAGCGAGCATGCAGGTGAGTGCATCGGGGGGGGGGATAAG